CATTTGAGTGCCAAAAGGTGGTTGGCCTGCGCTTGCATCCTCAGCTGCCCGCCAACGTTTGTCTCAGCTTGGCACTCCGCTTAGCCCAGGTGAAGGGAGGGAGACACTTTCTGATGCTGGCTTATCAGAGGAAGACAATATTAGGAGCTATTTCCTGTAGCCCGTATTGGTGTTTGCAGATGACCAAAGACAGGTCAGCCAGACAATGTCATATTCCTGTCACATATTTATGACATTTAAACTGAACATATAAAATGAAAAATACATAATCGGAGTTTACAGGAAAAAACACATCAAAATTAGAAGTACATTCAGAGATTCAGACGGCTGAATGTATGTGCAGACCCCGACTTTTGCTGAGCCTCCCAGTTGGTCTTTATTGTGATAGCTATAGTCATTGACCTTGGCTTGGAAGGCAGGAGGAAGTTAGGTTTGAGATTTGCATACAACTTCAGCTGCTAATATCTGGGTGTATTGAATGTTCTGCCATGGTGGGTTTTACTGAAGGTTATTATTAATGTTTATTTACCGATCATGAATTGTTTTTACATTGTATGCAGGCTTTATTTCACATCCCTTAATCACAGGGTGCTTTCATTGCACTTTGTTTTCTGAGGATGCTGGGCTATCTTATATAGAAAGTCCAGCACTAGCCCTCATTTGTTAAATGCCTCCCTCTAGGAGAACACATAGAGTTTATATCAGATAGAGATGGGAAGGGGTGTGTCCCTCTTCTAACTCAGTCAATTGGGTGTATTGTGAATAGAGCCGCAGGAGATGAAACTACCGGCAGGATTTGGTAGTCAGTCTACTGGCTGCTAGTGGTAAATGCAAAATATTTGTTTGCCGTATTCCAGAATTACCTGCCAAAATATATTTTAGTCATGAACACTAAAAACCACTATACTGTACATTCCATGTAGTTATCTGGCAGACAAGAACACTTCTGATGAAGCAGGAAATGTATTTCTATTTAATGTGCTCCATTTTTCTGTTGTACATAGGAGGAAATGAAAAACTGGATTATGGCTGTAACCACTTGTGTCTCTGAACATGTCGAGATAGCCAAATGGAGCCAGACCCTCCTTACTACCTCCTCCACTGATGAAGGAAACATAAAACGAGAGTCCGATCGCAGATCCAGCGCTGGGGGCCGTAAGAAGTGAACCACAAGGGGGAGCAGGGAGCTTCCTACATTGCCCTCCTTCTGTTCTTCTTCTGCCCCTAGGCAGAGCCAGGTGTTAGTCAAATACCTGAAGAGCAAGCCCTTCCAGATCTTCTTCTTACAGGTGGTCCAGGGAGTCTTCTGACCCGTTTCGGAACTGAATCTTGATGTCTATGCATTATCTGAACATAGTTTTCCTACCCCAGAAACTCCTGAGTGTTAAACAATTTTATCCTGAAACTTCCATCCTACAAACGTTCCCTCTCAGTTCCTCAAGGGCCTGGTGGGTGGTCATGTATCTAGCTCTTTTAGAGTTTGGTGAACACTCATCTAAAGGGCCCGAACAGTAGAACACTGTAGCCTACGTCTGTAGTACAATATAGTTGATGGGAATACGGGCTCTGATAGCTGAGGGTTCAGGAACACTCGCGAGTTTAGGGGAAGAACCTCACAGCTTTGGTGACAAGTCTGAATTCCTTTATATACGTAGATCAGGATCATGTGAGAGCACAGGTGTTAGGAGATAGCAGAGGACCAGATGTCTAGTTTTCTATTTATTTTGACAGTTAGCAAAAGGAAATCTTCAAAATACTTTTCAGAGTGCAATATTCGTGTGGCTGCTACAAAATGCCGGGTCTGTGCCATAAACAGAATCCCTATATCAAGGACATTGACTAACCTTCATCCTCTCTGTATATTCCAATATTTGACTTGAGTTCTAGGACCTCCATTCACAGGGACATCTTTCATCACATTAGTAGCACTGCAGCTTGTCCATGGCATGCTAGGGAACGTTCTAGCATTCAGTGACAGGTCATTGTAGAAAATTGAGGTGCAGCCCTCATTAAAGGGGAGTCTCCAGGTTCACAACCCTGAAACGTGAACTAAATAGAGTTTTTCTTTTTCTGCTCCTTCCATGCTGTTTATACTTCGATATGTGAAATCTGGATATCAGGGATGACATTAAGCTCACGTTGAAGCCCAAGACTACTGAAATGACACAGACCTTTTATTTATTGACTTTCCCAGTGAGCAGCACAAGCAGAAGAGTGCAAATGCAGTAACTCCGATCAGCCAATCAGAAGTCACTTTACTGAAGTCAGACCAGTACCAGATGGATTCTGATTGGCTCCTCTGGATACTGCTGCTTTTTCTTTGCACCTTGCTCCTTAGGCTGATGCATACATTTGGAAACATGGAAAATGGCTACTACATAAAGGGAACATATTTTTTTTTTTACGTTGCTCCTCGCCTTATTAAAGAACAAATAGATTAATGAGCATTAGCGGTTGTGTTTGGAGAACTTTAGTGTTCTCAGCCCAAACCGCTGTAGGAATAGAGGAAGGAAACAACAATTCTGTATGTGGGAGTGCCAGGTGACTTTTTGCAATCTAACAAGACACTGGCGTGTATTAAAAGAGGAATTATAGCAAGGGATCGAAGAGTAACACTTCCACTTTATAAATCATTGGCTCGGCCCAATCTCGAGTATGCGGTGTGTTCTGGTCGCCGACTCTCAGAAGGGACGTCCTGGAACTGGGGAGAGTTCAGAGAAGGGCTACAAAATGAATGAAAGGGATTGAAGGCCTGAGTTATGAAGACCGCATTCAAAATCTAAAAACATATTCACCTTAAAGAAGAGGCGATAAAGAGGGGATCCCATTGCAGTCTTCAAAATCATCAATGGGGACCCCAATATTAGGAGCAAACTGTTTAATCCCAAAACTGTATTGAGAACCCGGGGACACAAGAGGTTAGAAGAAAGGGGTTCAATCTTAGAATGCACAAGGGGCATTTCACTGGGAGAGTGGTGAAAGTTTGGAACTCACTACCACAGGCGGTGGTATCTGCAGATAACATTGATACATTTAAGAAACTTCTGGATGAGTTTCTTCTTTCGCAGAATCTACAGGGATATGGGAAGTGTTAGAGCCAGAGAAATACACACACGTTGAACTGGATGGACCTTGGTCTTTATTCAGCCTTACATACTATGTTTCTATGGGCCATGCACAGTACTGGACATGTTCTCTCCAGCAGTGTATTGGCTGACTGGTTTGTGGGGACATGGTTGTGTCCTGTGACAGTTGAAGGGGATGTTCATAATGACAATTAGATTTACTGTACAGCTTTCTTACCACATGAATGTTCTTCCCAGGCGAGCTCTTTGGCCAAATTGGAATTTGGAAACATGGCTCTTGTAGGGATAAAGTAACTTCCTTTGCAGAGAGGAGAGACAAACCAAAAACAAATGGTAGGCCAGAGAAGCAGGACAGAGTTAAAAACTAGTGCAAAACTCTTAAAAGCAACTCAACCTAAAACAGACATCTCTCTCTATTGTGGGTGGAGGACTTGATTCCATATAGACTCTTCTCTGTGTGTAGGGGAAGTTGCAGGAACATCTCCTGTTTGTAACATGCGGTCAGCCTGGCTCTGCTGCTTGCCAACATCTGTCTGTGTCTGATCCGATGGTACATACACTATAGACCATGCACTGACAGTCTACAACACTTCCCGCAATACCCAGAATGGATAAATAACTATTTTGGGTGGAGTTGCTTCATTTTCTATACAGCTGATTTGTAATCATTATGTGTGTCCGCGTTCTTTCTCTCACACCACTCGGAGGTAACACTAATTCATGTGGTGCTGAGTGTATCTAATGGACTGGAAGCCATAGATCATAGAGGTGGGGGGGGGGATTTTATCAGACGGATGTCGTTTTCCATGTTACAGGAGTTTATCCTTTTTTGTTACTATCATTACTTATCATATAATGTCAGTGTGTGAGTATGAGTCAACGCACTCCATTTGTATCAATGATCTGTCCATGAGGGTTTAGAGAAGCTCCAGGCAGATCACTTTAGAACATGGCTGAGTGACATAGCTACATGAATTGTATTTTCTACCTTTTGAGTACCAGGATTGTAATTCTGTTCAGCCCGCCTTGTTATTTATGTTACTTTGCCATACTGCACAGCCAAATACATTCACACACCATGTCCTGGTTCAGTTTTATATTTATCCGTTACCTGCCTGGCCATCAACCAGTAAATTCAAGCATTGTGAATGGTGATGCAATACACGGCCCAGGATGGGCAGGCTGGTAGCTGCAAAGCCTAAACAGGAAATGGTGGCGGCTCCTGCCTGGCTATAGTGCGGCATGAGTGTGTGACACGGGTCCAGCTGAATAGAATTACAAGCCGTTGGGTGGGAATATTCTGCTTGGCTGATGTCTGACTGGGTGCTTCCTCTGCAGCTTCTGGCCCCATTTACATCCAATCCGTTGCGTTATGATCCATTTGTCAACGAATGGTAACGCAAGGGCAATGAAAAATGAATCGGTGTGAATGGGACAGTTCACGCTGGTGCGTTGCATTGCGATGCTGTCCATTGTGCTGAGGAAAAAAAAGGTAGGAGCATGTTCTACTATTCCACAACACAACGCAGCAAAAACACGTGATAACGTATCACAAGCTTTAGTGAAGTATGTCCACTGTGATCACGTCACTTTACATAAAGCTTGACCAAAAAAAAAAGAAAAAACAGTCACATGGGATCACAGAAATCAGAAGGTACAATTGGAAGGCAATGGGCGATGCGTTGTGTTGTGCCTACGTTGTGATTTTGGTGTGAATGGGGCATTAGCAGCCCATTCACATTGTCACATTGATGAATGAACACTCACATTACTATGTGTTCTATATGTGACCGATGTGTGGTGCCGGGTGCGGTGACGGGCAGCAGTGCTCGCTGATGTGTTTTGATGAGTTTCCATTGATCTTAATGGTAAAACACATTTGTCAACGGTCGTACGAATGGGCTGTGATGGGAGGCGCAGAGATAAAATAACTTGCTGCACTGTCATTTGTTCATGGGTATGTGGCGGCGGTACATTGGGGGTGACGGGACTCAGCAATGATTATGCCCTTTAGACATCAGACAAGATTGTGC